GCTTCCCGTACCCTTAATAATGCCGCTGAGCAGAATTACTCAACGATTGAGAAAGAATTGTTAGCAGTCGTCTGGAGTACGAAACATTTCAGAGCTTATCTATTCGGCACGAAATTCAAAATTTTAGTAGACCACAAACCCCTACAGTGGCTCATGTCTTTGAAAGAACCCAATTCTCGTTTGGTTCGGTGGAGACTAAAACTCGAGGAATTCGACTATGAAATTATATACAAAAAGGGATCCTCTAACACCAACGCAGACGCTCTCTCCAGGATAGAAATTTATCCTATTGATAAATCTACTAATAACCCTTCAAATATCTTCGAATACATTGAAAACTTTAACGAATCTATCGACAATTCTAATCCCACGACTTCAAAAACACCATCCCAAACGATTCGGGAACACCCCGACGTACCAATAATAACTGACGAAGACATCCAATCTGTACTTGCAGAATTTGACTCAAATGACAAAGACGACTCTGACGGTGATACTATACCTTACCACAAAATCCCAATAGCAATGCAATAGTAGAACGGTTCCATTCAACCCTACTCGAACATATGAGAACATTAGCAATAACCAAACCTAAATTGAATTCATTCGAAAAACTAACCTTGTCCGTTATAGGATATAACAACTCAATACACTCAGCTACTAAATGCAAACCAATAGACCTTCTTTTAGGTCACCTCGAATTAAAAGACCCTTGTGAAATAGATAATGAAGCTCAACCTTACAATATTCAACTTAGCGAACATAAAGAAAATATGAAACAAATTTACAATAAAATAAATACCGAAACAAATGAGAAAAAACAAAAGCTTATTGCAAAACTCAACGAAAAAAGAACTGATCCCCCCGACATTTTACCCGGCACAGTCGCATATAAAAAACAAACGGACAGACAATCTAAAACCAAACCTCCATATAAACCCGAACATATCATAGCATCTAACGATCTCACAGTCACAACTTCTCAAAACAATTACCATAAACAATCTTTTAAACCTCCCAGGCAACTAATTAATAAAATCCCACAGGACGACAATTCTTCAGATAGTAGCGAGCCAGAAGATTCAGATAACATCCCTCAAAAATAACCCAGGCATCCTTCCTTTCAAACTCGGATCAGAAAGAGTGAAGATTGCTTCCCACACATTTCTCCATTATATTCCTGTAACTCCCATAGAAAATCAAGTAATTAACCTAACTTCTCAGTATTATAACCTAGATAGATTAATAAATCAATCTTCCACTTTCAATAAATTTAATTCCTTACGTAACGCCTACAAACATTTAGAATACGAAGTTAACAAAATAAATGTAAAAATGAACTCTATATTTCCTTCAAACCGTCATAAAAGAGGGTTAATTAATCCTTTAGGTTCCTTAGTGAAATTTATCAGCGGAAACATGGACCAAGAAGATGCACACCAAATTTACGAAAGCATTTCTGAATTAGAAAATAATCAAAATAAAATTATAAGAAAATTTAATTCTCAACTTATTTACAATTTCGGATAATCAACTTTTAATCTCTAATAAAATTAATGAATTAGGAAAAGCACTTAATGAGACGACATTTAGTTACACACACTATTTAGAGTTTCTAGAAATCTTTAACCAAATAAAAATAAATTCGGATTCACTGACATTGAAAATGCAATTAGCTTTGCCAATCTTAAAATACTACATCAAAGCATAATCACCCCCGATGATTTAAAACAAATTATCAAAGAATTGTATAACTTGTATCCGCACGACCAACTTATTTTCATCGAAGACGAAATTATAAAATACTACGAAATAATTGAAACTAAAGTATACTACGATAAAGACAAGATAATTTTCTCGCTAGATTTCCCTTTAGTGCATTCAGATTTATTTAACTATTATCATCTTTATTCCGTTCCCAATGAAAATCAAACTATCCTTATTCCCCCTTCCACATACCTAATCCTTGGCAACGATCAGTACCAATATCAAGAAGAAGAATGTCTACAACTCCAGCCATACTTCCTCTGCAAGATAAATCAATTACAAGCTATTCAAGAGAACCAAGACTGCATAACTTCAATTTTATCAGTTACATCATCCCCTGCACAATGTCGACAGATACCCGTTCGAATCTCCGGCCAATTATTAGAGGAAATCAATGAAAGCCATTACATCGGCATTTTTCCAGAACCAGAGAAAATAAAATCAAATTGCGCAGAAACAGATGTTTCCATTCTCCACGGTACCTACTTATTTATAATTCCACCGAAATGTTCGATAATTACTAAGAAATATTTCTATGAAAATGAGAAAAGCATCATAGAGGGTCACCCTATCAAACTAGAAAATATCGGCGAGATGTCATTCCCCACCATCAGCATACAAAAAATACACCTCCAAAAAATTCATCTGGACGAACTACATAAAATACAACTTAATGAAGATAGTATCGAGCCTATACAAGAATTTCTCAACTATACCACATCCTTCAAATGGGCAACAGGAATTAGCTCGTCCCTCTTTAGCTTGACCCTTATATACTTAATACTAAAGAACAGAAAATTAATCACGCAATTTCTAAAACTGAAGAAGAAGAAGAAGCCTTCTGCTATTGACGCAACTCAAGTGGTTCCACCTCAGTTACACCCTTGAGTTCCTTTTGGGGATGGAGGAGTTATGTTATAGGAACTACGAACGTTATCAGAAACCATTCATAAACACCACCATATATGGAATCAAACATCGACCACATCGCCGGCACGTCACACGTGCTGATTTGGCAAAAGTCAACATTTCATTTAATAATTAATATTTTCATTACAATGATTTTAGACTTGTAGATAAAAACACATATTGTATTTAAATTCAAATAAAAATTGTTTTTAAAAAATAACTTTTTATATCAAGAAACATAAAGACCATCTACCACGAAATGAATTGTTTGGCTCCCGTGTTATAGAAATATCGGTTCTTGCACGCGTCTCAATCACTGGTTTTGGAGTGGGGACATGAACGCGATAATAGCTCCGAGTGAAGTTACTTCTCTTTAGCCATATACTTTGCTCTAGATAATATTAAATTAATTGCATTTGCTCTAGTTTTTGGGTAGTGTGAACCAAAATTTAGCATTTATTTTTACTTAAAAATTGATGACAACAGTGCCTATTTTCTAATGAATAAAATGTCTCGCTATAATCGGTTAATATGTATTAATGACTAAATCTAGAATATTAAACAATTTAAATAATTATTATTCACACTACTTAGTGTGTCAGCGGCACTGAAATAAAAAATCCTATGTATTTTTCAAAACCAGTATCCAGTACTAAGCTTAAAAAAGTGGTGTTCGATGAACGACCAAAACATATTGCTCTCCGCGGGAAAATTAAAATTATTTTGAAACATCTACCGCCCTAATTATATTGGACTGTAAAAATTTTATCCATTCTTTGACCTCCTGCAAAGTTTTGCCGATATAAAGGAAGTACTGCTGAGAGTCTAGAATAGTAAATTTTGTTGTTTGTTTTTTCCCAGTTGTGTCCTTCTTTATCACTTTATTGGTGGGCACAAAGAAACCGTGAAGGGCATATAATAAAGCCGTATCTCGCCCATCTAAAAATGAAGGTTAAGTTTATTTTAATATAAAATAAATTTGTAATATAAAATTGGGAATTAATATTCCATGCTATATTAAAAAACACATACAGAAGCTAATATATATTTTATGTAATTTTTAGATAACCATATAGTTATTTTCCACAATATTTTCATTTTTCAGCCCATCTGATAGATTTTATACTTCTATTTTTTTTTATTTTCAAATTATTTTTCAAATTTTAAATGAGTACTCGTGTCGTTTTGTTTGTCAGTTTTACCATTAATTTTTGTGTAATTTTTTTATTAGGGTGTAGAATAAGGGGCATTAAATTTAGGCCTATGTTTTTTCTTAGTTTCATACAGGGTTTGTGCAAGATCTATTTCAGGTATGGTTTTTGCACTTTCTTTTTGTTCTAATATTTTCTGTAATTTTTCTTTTGTTTGTTGAATAAGTCAGTTATGAAAGGACGAAGTTCATCCCTATGTCTTTGGTTGTAAAACTGCCGATTTTCGTAATTTTTTTCGGTTTTTCAAAGTTTTCTCGAAAATTTGACGGTGTACGGGTCAAACGGACCTCAGATTTGGATTCAGCGGGTCGAAATATATAAAGATATACCGGTCCCGTCAAAAGTACTGACAACTTTTTTTTTTGTGTGCCGGTGTAATTAGTGGATTTTAACTCTTCAAAACAGTCTCGAAGCGACTTACCTTAGTCGGGAAGTAACTTTCCCGGCTAGTAAATATCACTTACTTCGTAAGTGTTTTCGTTTCTTCACCTGCTTTTTTCCGGAATTATGTATACCTTATGTAGCTTATTCTACAGCTATTCGTAATTCTGGTGGGGTACATTAAAGTTAACTGTCCGACATATTTGCAAGTATAAAAACAATTTTATTATTAAAGGTGTCGTTCAATATGTAATTAGCAAAATAATTACCTAACTGTTAGATTCAACCAACCTATTATTTTGCCTAGCAACGGTGTCACAGGTAACTTTGTATAAAAGAAATATATCAAATTATGATAGAAATTAATAACAATATTATTATTTGAAACATATATAATAATTATAGGTTAAATCGAATACGTACCTCGAGGGAACTTATTCCATCCTCGCGTTTGTAGCTAACCCCCGTGCTTTGCACCTCGGTAATCTATCTAGACGTTCGGCTGTAACTTCCCGCTCGGTATGTAATACACTAATACTATACACATAAAAGTAATATATTTAGTGTGTAAGAAATATTGCGGTGGCGTAATAAATCAACATTTGGCAACAGCGCACGTCACAGGTTGTTCAAAATCATATGATCTGCAAAACAAACCTCATATTATAAAAAAATTAAAAAATAATTGTAATAGTTATGTTCTTTTTTTTTAAGTGAACCGGAAGAATAACAATGGATCCATCTTTTGAAATAAGAAAGTTGTTGCCGAGTCAACTTAGAGAATTAGCTTCTATATTGGAAACTCATGATTTATGGAAAGATTTAATGAGCATAATACCGAAAAAAATGGATAAGTATGACTACCAATGTGATATAAGTTCTCACAATCATCCTCAATATAATCCTGAATATTTTAGGTAAGTTTAATATCTATGATCAACAATATTTTAAAAATATAGTGTGTTTCTAATAATTCGTCGCACTTGCTTTAGTCTTCTTTATTGAATCAGCTCTCTTGTGTACGTACTCTATAATGCCTATAATTTAAACTAATACATACCTTACGTAAACTGAAGAAGGGTATCCAACTGCTCAAATGTCATTTTAATAGTAAAAAAATGACAATTAATCCCACATAAAATATTTTATAAATATACGCCCAAAATTACAAACACAATTAAAATGTATTTGACAAATATTATTCAATATTACATTTGAAATAATTTAAATCCTATTTCTAAAAACAAATCAAAATTAAATAAGTCGGGGATCTTCTAAATTCCGGGAAGTAGGGCCAATGCGCCGGTTTTCGACCATTTAGTACAATGTCTGATTTCAAAGATGAGTGAGTTGCTTAAAAATGGGTTGTTTACTTCGATTTTTTTTTTTTCAAATAAATCTTTTGGCATTTTATTTTTATGAAAAAATATTTCTATTTTATTTTCGTTAATTGGAAATTTTATATTAAAAAAACAATTAAAAAGGTCATCTTTTACCCTTTTTCGACTACCGACTACTCTTGATGTCGACCAAAGAAGTTCCTATTTTCGACCAGATTTTGTTTGTGCTTAGTCGAACAAAGGTCCAATTTTCGACCAGTCACTGTTTGTACAGTCGGGAAAGGGATAGTTGCTCGACTAGAATGGAAACAACTCAGGTTTTTATTTTATTATCAAATAATTACCATTAAAGAATAAAAACAACATAAAATACCTACAATATTTAAAGCTTTAATTAAAAAATACTAGTAATCTTTGAAAATAAAAATAAAAAACAAAAATATTGCTTTTTTAAGAACATATGAAACAAATGTAATCTTGGGCTGAAGCCTCTTCATAACTTAAACCATAGAATTCGGTGCACTTCATATGGTACCACCTGGGACAATCATCGCACCCTATGTTTTTTTCATCATCATCCTCGACATCACTGATGAGTTCTTCTTTGCAGGCGGAGCATTTTAATTTTTCATTGGTTATTGGTGGAGGTAGATCCTGGTTTTCTTGGCTCTTTTTTCCTTTTGTTCTTTTTGTTTTTAGATTTTGGTCTTTTTTCTTTAGCTTCTCCGTCTCTCTGTCGTTTTTTACTTTCAGCCTTTTCTCTCTCTTTATTTTGGCTTCTTCTAGTTTTCTTTTCATTTTCTTTTTTGTGTAATATGTCCTCCATTCTTCGGATGGGTTCTGGGTAATGGAGATTTTTTAGTCTTCTCCTTTTGGTCGCCAACAGTCAAGATTCTTCGTTGGGGGCTTTTTACGGTTACCAATGGGGGCAGATTTTCTTTATTTTGCTCTTTAGTTGCTCTTGTTTCGGAATCTAATTTAGTGGAACAAGGTTGTTCATGTTTTTGTCCAATAGTGTTAACTGTTGTTAATTGTTCGACTTGAATGATGGTCTCTTGATTTGCTCTTGGTTCGGAATCTATTTCAGTGGAACAAAGTTGTTCATCGTGTAGATATTCATCCAATTCTCGAAACCATGTTTTAATATATTCCTTTGTGATAACTGCACGAGCTTTATTAATGCTTTCAGCTTCTCGTAGAGTTATTTCGGGATGGCGTTTTAAAAAATTCTGGTACCACTTCTACCCAGGTTTTCCATTCTTGAACATGTTACTTTTTCCTAGATCTTTCGCTATTTTTTCTACCGTGTCGAAAAGATCTGTTTTTTTTTTAGGGGAAATCCATATTTTGCAATGTTTAAGATCCACTCTTTGAGTTTAATTTCAACGACATTAGTGAGTAAAGGTTCTGGTCCAGTTTTCCGTTTAATTCCCATTGATCGTCCCTTTAATCGATCAATAATTGTTGTTTTGGGGATATTAAAATTCTGACTGGCTTTATTTATGCTGATAGTACCCTGCTGAATCTCATTTATAGCTGCTTGTAGGGCCTCTTCAGAATACTGAAAGAAACGTCTTTTTTGTTTGCATTTCATTGATTTTTTTCTCACATTATCGTTAATGCCTGATGGACCTGCTTTTCTGGTAGAAGGCATCTGCAAAGAAAAAACCTCTATTTTGAACCATTAAGAATTAAGTGGTCGAAACAACAATTCTTTTTCGACCACCTACTTATATTCTAAAAAGAAGTGGTCGAAAAAGGGGCTATTTCTCGAACCCGTATTTAAAATCCTTAAAAAAAAAAAAGAAAGAAATATGGTCGAAAACTGGAGTTTATATTGGAACTATATTTCTTCGTAAACTGGCAAAGTGAAACCAACCTATACAAACACTGTCATATAGAAAAAGACAGTTAAATGTGACTGCTAATTAGCCGGTTTTCGACCAGTTGGTCGAAAAAGGGAAATTATGATTTTTTGCATCCCATTACTCGACCACCTGATTTTAACTGAAAAACTGTGTTTTTATTAGGTTTTATTCAGTTTTTCTATATAAATCAGTAAATATTTTAAACTGAAGATGAAATGTAAGCCATATTAATAATATATTACTACTTACCCGCTATTTTCCAAGGCACTATTCACTACCAAATTTGTATAAAACAACATGTAACACTAGTCAGGTGACAGCAACCTTTTCATGTTTGTTCTAAAATGATAGTGGCGTGCTAAAGAGCTTGTGAATTCCCAAATCGGAGCCGGGGTGATAGTCGAAAACGAGTTTAGAGTGGGACAAATGATTATGTGTATCTTTTTCTTATTTTGAGCGAATTTGTATTAAAGTGGTCGAAAACTAGCTGTGGTCGGGTAACCGGCGCATTGACCCTATACCTGTATCAGTTTAGGCCCAAACGGGGACTGGGATTAAAAATTATATTTCTCTAATTAGGATTACAGGTCATTATTGGGTACGAAACGTGCACTGCCTCAGAAAATATTCAATAACGTTATAGTGTTTTTTTTTTGTTATTCACGTCGGTTTTTTAACTACTTATACTAAAGCGAACGAGTCTAATATATCTGTAATAAGATCAGTTTTATGGTTAGGTTTCAAGAAGTCTAAATTTAAATCACCCAAAAACATTATTTTATCTGATTTATGTAACATACCATCAGAGCTTTCTAGCTCATCCAAAACTTCTTTTACATAGCGACCAGGGGGCATTTAAATAATAACACATCCACAACTTTTTATTTCACTTCAGATTTGTTCGATTATAGTATTTACTGATGTACATTCCTTTGCAAGTTTCAAACCCATGTGGGATTTATACATTGTTAATTTATTTTATGTGGGAGTCATTATCTTATTAGTATAAATTATTGTTTTAGATTGATTCAAAGCGAATCTGAACAATCAAGAAGAACTTGCACAGAAGTTCTTTTTGAAGAATGGGGCACTTCAGGCAGAAACCGTCCAGCTTTGGGTCACCTATTATACCTTTTAAAAAAAGCAAATTTGTTCAGAGCTGCAGATTATGTAGCTGTAAATCTTTTGCATCTGGAGAAACCAGAAAGACCTGATATCGGTCCAGCAGCTGAAATTCCTATTGATCTTAGTGACGTTAATAAAACATCCAATGGCGAATTTAAAAAAGAACAACCTGTGACAGTAAATAAAAATGTACCGAACCTTTCAATTTTAAATTTAGAATCAAGAAAAGCTTCAACGCAGCTCTCAGAAGAACAAAATTTATTAATTCAAGATAGTTCTGAATCAGGTATGATTCCAGATCTTGAATCGCTACAAAGACAAAGTTGCGCTATTATAGAGGATTCCAGTAATTTACCCGATTTGAGTGCACTCCAAATTAGTATTCTAAACCTAAATTTAAGAAGTCTAACACTCAGTAAAGCATTTCAGGCTCCATCTGAAAACACGAAAACTCGTTCCTGCTCATCTCGTTTACCGATTCTCTCGTTAGATACCACGTTACCGCATTTTAGCTATCAAATTTTAGAGTTAGCTACAAACAGTTTCAAAGGAAGATTATTGGGGAAGGGAGATTTTGGGTCGGTGTTTTTAGCTACGAATCTTCTCGGCAAACCTGTGGCTGTCAAAAAGTTGGATATCGGAAATGTGGATATTGTTAAAGTTGACGATGAAGTGACGAAGCAATTTAGAAACGAAGTTGAAGTATTGAGCAAATATAAACATGAAAATTTGTTATCTCTTTTGGGTTATTCTTGTGATGGGTACACCTATTGTTTACTGTATGAATATATGCCTGGTGGAACGCTTCGTGATAGGCTGCAGGTAACATAATTTATTTATTTAGTTAAACTTTTTTTTTTCAATATATTTATGTAGTACTTACTGAAAATAATTTCTAGATATTACAGTTTATCTAACCTAACAAACAACTGTAATGATATATTTATAAAATATAAAATATTTTTAAAAATCGATAAAGTTTTTTACCCAGAACTTCCTTCGATATAGAAATTGTAAAAACAGGAAGGAATACTTTAATAAGGGGTATTTAAAATGTTTAAGTACTAATTTTTCAATGGGCGTGTTTAGTTAAATTCAAAAATATTTTCTTCTAAAATATAGCACAAAATCTGATCTAAACATTTTTCTTTTTCAAATTTTCCTACAATTTTTTTTTTAAATTCCAAAAAATTCAAGCAAATTTGAAACTCGCGCCACAATGATTTTTAAACATTGTAATAATGAAGACTTAAATCTGATTGGCTAATTTATAACTTTCCAGACAGTAATCGATATGTTTTTACTGTGTTCCGCTTCTTATGAAGAATTATTGAAATTTCTGATAACTGACAATTTAAAAGTTAAGATCGTATAATTTAACGTAACATATATTAATACTAAAACAATATTTGTTTAAATTCAGATTTTATGAAGCAAGAGTTTCAATAAACTTTCTTAATCGAAATTTTATTCGAATCATAATCGCGAAGTCTGCAACGAGGTTTTATTTGTCCATCTAAATCCTAACCTCGTTTTCGAGTCAAGATTATTTGATATAATATTTTAAAATTGTTATTTAATTTTTTTAAAAGTGACCATACAAACATTATTAAAAGAAGAATCTTTAGACAATTTACCCAAACATGATTAATTATTTTTTATATAAATAATATAAAGTTTATTTGCTCTGGAATTCCCAACGTAAAACTCAAAATCTTTCTAGAATTATTGTACTCAAAAAGATTTATCTTTAAAAACGAAATTTTTTTATTTTACAAACTCACTACTCAATATTGTTGACATTTTAGGTCTACCAAGGAAGTGCACTAGCATTGCTCGGTTACCATTTGTAACATTAAAGCTATAAATATCCCAGAACACAAAAAGTTTATTGCAATATTCAGTAATAAATTAACAAAAAAAGGTGGTATCTTGTAAATTCAGAGAATATTTTGCTTTCGAAAGTAATTAAATTCCTGTGAAAAATAAAAAGATCAAAATACTGTATTAAATGATTTTTTATGGTTCTATTTTTTAAGATGGGTGCAAACATAGTGTTGCTCTCTTGTTGTGGCTTCTGAACACTATCGAAGAGAATAACCTTCCATCACATCAACATTGTGTTATTAGAAAAGGCAAACTTTATTATAATCGTTTAAGCAATTAATAACATTTATATATGAAATGACAATACAATTCAAATCCTTTTTTTGGCAGAGTCAGTTAGAGCCTTTAATAGGAATTTTAGGTGGTGTATTTGTGAGACACATCTTGTTTTATTGTCAAATTTTTACCCATAATTTTGAAATGGATCCAGTTTTCTGCATCTTCTTTCACTTAAAACTAATGCAAACTAATTAGTACCCTCAAACTCGGTGTTAATTAAAAAGATAGGTAGGTATATTGAGCTATTAGTAAATTTATATCAAACTGGAAACAAAAACAATTCAAGAATATTTTTACTTACATCAAAATAAATATAAAGCCACGACGGCAGTTTGTGTTTTGCAACAGCCCTTACCCCACTATAGTTTTTGAATGTCTAGATTTTAAGGAAGTTTTATAAACATTTTACCAGATTGACTGTTACTTTCCTATCTGTATACATATATAAGGAAAGTATAGGAATTATGATTTTTTTCGACCTCGAGTTTTCGACGGATTTTTACGTTTTGAGTATTGAGTATGTGTATGTGTATGTGTATGTGTATGTGTATGTGTATGTGTATGTGTATATGTGTATATGTGTATATGTGTATATGTGTATATGTGTATATGTGTATATGTGTATATGTGTATATGTGTATATGTGTATATGTGTATATGTGTATATGTGTATATGTGTATATGTGTATATGTGTATATGTGTATATGTGTATATGTGTATATGTGTATATGTGTATATGTGTATATGTGTATATGTGTATATGTGTATATGTGCATGTGCATGTGTGTGTGTGTGTGCGTGCGTGCGTGCGTGCGTGCGTGCGTGCGTGCGTGTGTGTGTGTGTGTGTGTGTGTGTGTGTGTGTGTGTGTGTGTGTGTGTGTGTGTGTGTGTGTGTGTGTGTGTGTGTGTGTGTGTGTGTATGTGTGTGTGTGAGTGTGTGCGTGTGTGGGTGCGTGCGTATGCGCGTATGGGCGTATGTGCGTATGTGCGTATGTGTGTGTGTGTGTGTGTGTGTGTGTGTGTGTGTGTGTGTGTGTGTGTGTGTGTGTGTGTGTGTGTGTGTGTGTCTGTATAACGCATAACTCATGAACCGATACACAGAAAAACACCAAATTTTAAACTTAAGCTTTGTTTCAGCGTCCAATGAGCTGATTAGATTTTGGGCAGAGTCGGAACATCTGGGGGGTACTTTATAGGTGGTCATTTTTATATTTTATGGAATATATCTGTTATTTACTTTTGGAGAAGAAAATTCTTCAAATAAAAATTACTTCTAATAAAATTATCTATAATTTTTGTTCTATACAAAATTTTCCTAAAATGGTCCGTATTCGAGAAATTTTACAAAATGTAAAAAAAAATATTTTTTTATAAAAATTGTTCAAACAAAAGTTGTTTGTAATATAAGTCTCTATAATTTTTATCCCATACATAATTTCTCTAAAATGGACCGTATTCGAGATATTTAAGAAAATGTGTAAATTTCGAAATTTGAAGAAAACTCAAAAACGGATGAAGAAAAAAACATTAAATTTTAAACCTAAGTTTTATTTCGGCCTGGCGTGAAATGATTAGATTTTGGACAAAGTCGGAACATCTGGAGGGGTACTTTATGGGGGGCCGTTTTTATATTTTATGGAATATATCTGTTATTTATGTTTGGAGAAAAAATTGTTCAAATAAAAGTTATTTCTAATATTATTATCTATAATTTTTGCTTTATGTCAAAATTTCCTGAAATGGTCCGTATTCGAGAAATTTGACAAAATTTGCAAAATTCTGATTTTTATGAAAATTGTTGAAATAAAAGTTGTTTGCGATATCGATCTCTATAATTTTTGTTTATACATGATTTTTCTAAAATGGACCGTAATGGAAAAATTGTAGGAAAAGTGCTAAATTAAAATTTTTCAGTATTTTCGTTTTCAATGAATATCTATAGAAAAATGATTCGAGGTAGATGTATGTGGAAAATGTATATATTTAGTTTATCCTCCTCTAAACATTTATAGAGGTGCTGCAATAACTAGATAGGAAAGTCATGTGTTGGACACATCAGATTTTTTTTGTTTACTTCTCATAGGGACCAAGTACTTGAAAATATAACCAGATATTTTTAGTGTAACGAAAAATGTTTATTTTATCACACTTTTTAAAATCAATTTTAATGTTTCTCACAATCGATTTGAGGTTAGAAATGTTGGTATCATGAGAAAAAAAAAAACATAATATTAATCCGAATTTAGAAAGAGATTATTATCATAAATGTCACTATTAGAGAAAGATAACGATTAACTGTATATATTATGGTATCACAGATTCTTTAGTGACCAATATAAATAGGCGCTTCATTATGACACGGTAAATGGCGCAGAAATAAAGTGTTTTAAATAATTGATTTAAAAGTACTATAACTTTATTATTTATTTAAAATATTTATTGCATTTTTGTGCTTAAACATTATTTATAAATGGAAAATATATTAACAGAATCTACTTTACCTGTTATTTTGGAGTAATTAGTATAATATATTGTAGAAAAGTGTAGAAAAATATTATCTTGTGAAAATTGTATAAAATAGAAGTTGTATAAGGTAGAGCTCTTTTCCGTTTCCGTTTTATTTTCTAGCTTACAACCCAATGTTACATAAAACTAGGTCCTCTATGGTCCGAATTTTATTGCATAAAAACATAGGGATTGGTGATAACGTCTTCTCGATTTATCCTTTTATATTTCCTATCTTTTTCTTTTTCATGTTCTCTAAATACCTCATTCATTCTATCTTTTCTCTTTTTTGCTTTTTCAATATCTCTATATGCTTTTTTTTTCTCTTTTTTATATCTCGCTTTCTTTTTCTGCAAGTCTGTATGCTTCTTATTCTCTTTTTTGTCTTTTAACTTTATGACTAAGTGTTTCGGGACATATAATCCCGAAGGAATCATTTTTACTAGAACAGCCTTTCGGCAAGAGTTTCAGGCAGCAGCCCTGATCTTTTCTATCGACTCTCTACATTAAAATTTATGTGACAGTTTCATTATTATTTTAAAAAATATTAACATGTATCGTCCTTGAATGACTATTTCAGTGGAAGCCAATAACAAAATAACAACCTAGTTATTTGGTTAATGTCAATATTTCTTTTTGGCGTCGCTTGAAATTCTAACCAATTGCCTGTAAGGATACGTTCACATGATAGCTTTTTATTGGCAATCTGCCTTGTGACGAAAATGACGTAACATTTATGAGTGCCAGAGGCGGCTTAAGTGTTTAGGTTTTGTGTTTTAATCCAAATAGATTTTGTTCTGTTTTAATTTAAATATATGTTGAAGGTTTTATAGAACATTCCCAAAGTTATTTCAGAGTGATAATAATTAGGAGAAGATTATCTTAAGTAAAAATTAAAATTCGATTTTGACAATTTTTTTACCCACCCTGTAACTAATAATGATTTACGTTATAGGTTATACTGAAAATATTGTTTGATATCAGTAAAGGAGTACTCTTCAAAAATATCTGTAATCATAGTAGTTCGTTTTTAAACTTTTGCAATAATTGTGCCTTAGTTTAGTTTAATAAAAGTTTCAATGAATTTTTCATATATTTTTTTTAGGATGTAAACAATCAACTTTTATGGAAAGAAAGATTGAATGTAGCTGTTGGTACTTCCAAGGCTATATGTTATTTGCATACTGCATATTCTTCTCCTCTAATTCATAGGGATATCAACTCTGCAAACATTCTTTTAGACTCTAACAATCAGCCAAAGGTAAGTTAATAGACTATCAAAAACTCTTGTTCCACTTCACACAAATTCAAATCACATTTAGAATTAGAAATTGTGTGCTTCGACGAGAGTCGGAATCTGATTGACTTTAGATATAGAAACCATGTGTCTTGATAGCTCAACTGCCAGCATGGACTGCAACAGTCCAAACAATCTAGGTTCGATCCCTGGTCGTTGCAATCATGTTTTCTTTAATTCTCAGTTTTTCAATTTTTCTTTGGTTTATTTTCATATGGATATGGGGGTGTATTTTTATAATTTCGTAAGGGGAATTCATATTTTCAAAATTTTAAAAATACAAATAAAGTACTTTAGTTTTCCAAAAAATGAAACGAGGGTTAAGAACCATAACGACGTAACAGAAATTTCTTAAATGTTCAGGAGAGCCAAAAATATGTCGAAAATATACATCATTAACAGGTTGGATGCCGATCTCCTTTGAATGCACTTTGCCCGGTCCCAAAAAGATAAATTAGAGTTAAACTACATTTAATGATCTAAAATTAATTGTCAGCATATTAAATAATTGATACCTATCCAAAAAAGGAGATAAAAGAAAAACAAAAAACTGACGCTTATAAGCGGCAGTGGCACTGAATATCACACTTCGGTAGCACGTGCCGTCAACGCTTATAAGCGTCGAGCCTACCTTAAGTGAAATTATTTTATTCATGAGTTTTAAAAGCAACAATACACATTAAAAAAAAAGACAACAAAATGTAAAATATTACAGAATTAAAATAATTTGGTATTTTTAAAAACCTAAAATTATTTAAAAAAAAAAATAGGTAAAAATATTTTATTTATGAGTTATAATGCTACAATTGAGACAATACCCTGGACTTCCAGGACAGGTTTCGCATTCAAATGTTGTATCCGTACGTATATTGCGTCGCTCTGAGCACATTTTGCACCTTTTTCGAGACACTTGCTTTTTACCCGGTGTAGCTTCTCGTTTTCTGAGCCTGTGTCCGTTATTTTTAGGTATTTCTGCATTATTTTCCATGGAAGTTGGCAAAAGTTTTTTTAATAACGGCCACTCTAAAATCAGAGGATGATATTTTGTGTCCGGAATACTTATTGTACAAATGGAAGGCATTGATTAGCATCATTTCAATAATGTGGAAAAAAGTTTTTTTGGCCAACGAATGGTTTTCCTTTCATGTAGATAGTAGGACAACATTTGGTCGTGGTGGTCAATACCAGACATATATTTATTATACTCGGCTATAGACAACGGCTTCGAAACTATTTGCTTTCTTTTGGTTACTACTTCAACCATTCTATTTTCATATTTATTTGAAATATAGAGGACGTCTCTTTTATCCTTCCATTTACCTATAGTACCCCTTTGGCATACCTTGCAATAGTTTCTCCTTTTTTGAGATTGGTAGAAATTACAATATCTGGTGTTTCTTTCCTGTTTGATCGTAATGTTCCAGTGCAATGAGTCTCCAATAGGGTTCTGGCCAAAGCAAAACTGTTGTAATAATGTAATAATTGGCATTATTATTTTTAAAATACAAAGAATTTAACAAAAGTCCCAAAAATATCTAATATTTTTAATACCTATTAAATTAACACAACATATTTATTAAAACCAAACAATTAGAAATAGTTCATTGCACTAGTAAATTTAAGGACAAATCGTGCAAATAATCATTAAAAATAAATAAGTCGTTTCTTGTAAAATAATCACGTTAAGGTTGATATAAATAGAGAGTCAATCGTTGACACGGAGACTCGAGGGGCGGCCGTTGGGCCAAACCTAAATGTAACTTATTAATTATTAGTATTTATTATATATAGTAAAGTGTGTGTGTAGTGTTTTAGTTTCAAAGGTAATATCTATTTTATTTTAACATGGTTAAATCTCTTTGTTTGGGTTATGTATTTTAAAACAGTTCATTAGTCTTCCTCAAATGCCAATTCTTTCATTAACGCTGTACGTCGCTGAACTACATTTACCTATAATACTGACCTACGCCAATTACTGGTAGCACTGCACTTTGAAAGAAATACTTTGCGAAACTGTAATACAATATTTATAGTTCATTATAGTTCAATGTCAATTTTTATGTAAATAGTGACAATATTTACCTTTAAATTCTTTATTATCTAAACTAGATATACTTATACATCATCAACCTATTTAAATATTTTCCCTTCGCAATTCTTATTTAACATCATAGTTATTTTAAAATAAATTAAAATTCTCCTTTTGAATAATTTTCTCTTTATTGAAATGATGACTTTTTGTACACAAAGAAATATAATATTATAAATAAAATTGTATACTATTTTCGACTTGACCCTAATGTTTATTGTTACAATTATTTTCAATGTCAATGTTTTGTTTAAACAACTACTTAGTTAAAATATTATATTAAATTATCATCTATTTATTTATCTTTGTTTTTTATCAATTCAGGTACGCTAATTTATTTAATAAAATGAAATTTGCATTTATCACTTGATTTCTGTATCCACTCAAGGATGTGACTACATTTATTAAGAGGCACTTATCCTCTCCAAAAAAATTACAAAATTTGAAAAAAAATGTCTGTAAAAAAATTGATATATCTCCTTATCCTTAATAACAAATTTCCCCTTTTCCTTCCAACCAGTCAAATATTATCAAAAAACACCGCTTGTCACCAAATGTAACAACCAGTTAATCCTAAAGACCAACGCTCGTCACCAAATGTAACAACCAGTTATGTCTAAAGACCAACGCTCGTCACCAAATGTAACAACCAGTTAGCCTAAAGACCATTTACAACTACTGATAGGTCTTTAGCTACTGTTACTATACTATTAAGGGATAAAGGCAGCGACGTCACCAGCCAAAGGTTCCTGGAATTCTGAAGGAACATCCATTCGCCAGTGGCAAAATAAAATAAAAGAAAATAATAAAAATACAAAAAAAAACATCTCTTAATAGCATACGTCGAGCGGTTTTGGCAACTGACTTAAGACTCTCAAGTCCTTAAGGGTAGGAACGCCGAGGCTTAACATGCTTGGAATATTTCTTACTGGTTTTTGGGAAGAGGTGAGAATAAAATAGGTTAATAAACAATAACACGTATATTTAAATATAAGTAAAAACTGAATAACAAATTTCAATAAATCAAAACAATCTCTATTTTTGAAATAAGACATAGCAAAAATTACTACCCACAATTGTAAATCTTTATTATGATAAACCATGCTAATATAATATAATCTATGATGAAACTTTGATATAAAGAAACCTTTTACATCACAAAAACATTTTAATATAAAAAAACTCTTTATATGATAAAACCCTTAAAACTGATAAAACCATTTAATAAGTAAACTTGGGACGAAAATGAAAGAATTGGCATTTGAGGAAGACTAATGAACTGTTTTAAAATACATAACCCAAACAAAGAGATTTAACCATGTTAAAATAAAATAGATATTGAAGAGGTTGAGTGGTGTGTACACACTGGGTAATAAGAAATGAATGTGACGTATTTAAAGTGTGTAGGTAGTTTTATTAATATTAATAAATAAATAATATTAATAAATAAAAAATAGATATTACCTTTGAAACTAAAACACTACACACACACTTTACTATATATAATAAATACTAATAATTAATAAGTTACATTTTTGGGCATAGGTTTGGCCCAACGGCCGCCCCTCGAGTCTCCGTGTCAACGATTGACTCTCTATTTATATCAACCTTAACGTGATTATTTTACAAGAAACGACTTATTTATTTTTAATGATTATTTGCACGATTTGTCCTTAAATTTACTAGTGCAATGAACTATTTCTAATTGTTTGGTTTTAATAAATATGTTGTGTTAATTTAATAGGTTTTAAAAATATTAGATATTTTTGGGATTTTTGTTAAATTCTTTGTATTTTAAAAATAATAATGCCAATTATTACAATAATTGTCGAGATAAACATGATGACCAACATTCAAATGACCTTCCAATAAATGTAATACAATCTTTTGAGAATGTCCTTTGCCGCCTGTATCATCTAACATGCCAGTATACACAGCACATTTCTGAACAATACCTCTAGGATTTGTCAGCATGTACAATTTGATGCCATACTTATGTTTTTTGTTTTTTATGTATTGTTTGAATATTAGTCTGCCGCGAAAAAGCACCATTGACTCATCCAGCGATAGCTCACATCCAGGGGAAAATACTTCAGCCATTTTTTCATTAAAAAAGTTTATCATTGGTCTAATTTTGTAAAGCCTATCTTCAGGTTTTGGTTCAGTTGGTCCAGGATCTCTCGAAAAGTGAAGTGCACGTAATATCAATAAAAATCGATTTCTACCCATACTGCCTGCAATTCCTTTATTGTGGAATAAAGGATCTTTTTTCCAGTAATCACGCATTCTTGGCTGTCGTACAACACCCATATGTAGAAATATTCCAAACAATATCAATAATTCATCCTGTGTCACTGGTTTCCACGAACAAATTCTAGACTTTTCTTTTGTCATTGCCGTTAAGAAAATATTTTCCGCATTGATATTGGTTTCATCAACTACTAATTGTAAAATATCGTCAGTCAGTAAACTACGGAAAAAACCCAACGGAGTGTTTTCAGATGGTACAATTTTGAATGCCTCATTGCACACAAACGGGAAATCTTTCATATCAATAGGGTCGTTTTTCCAATCAACATCTGACTCGTTATCTGAGTTTTCTTCAATTCCACATTTTTCTGCTTCGTTTACTGTATCGATAATTATATTAGAATTATCTTTGTGGTTTTCATCTTCACTCTCACTCTCAGAGTCCGTCCCTGACCCAAACCATTCATTATCTGATTTTGGCGCCAATTCAAACTCACTTTCCTCGTCACTATTTTCTAGAAGTTCTAACAATTCTTCATCCGTATACTTATGAAAACGGCGTCTTTTTAATTGTGAAGGCCCTGCCATAGCGTTATCACTTTTCATTGTCCCAAAAATTTCAAAAAACGCGAAAAAAAAGAACCACGTGTATTTTTTATCTCTAAATACCTTTACTTCAGTGCCTGCAAACATACACTTAACACAAATGCGATCCCGACCAAACTGACTAACCAAACCCATTAAAGCTTATAAGCGGCAGTGGCACACGCGCAAAACATTTTCTGACGCTTATAAGCGACAGTGGCATCCAACCTGTTAAGGTTTACTGTGATGTCTTGTATTACTTTTTAAATTGATAATAATTTCGAATACATTATTGTATTCCTTTATTTTTGTACTTTTGAGAATGCCTTTTACAAAAATTAAAATTATTAAGGTTTCGATAATATATTTTTTTTTTTGAAAAAAATGTAATGATACGTCGTTTTAACTCTTATGGAATAGTAACAATGTAGGAATCAGCATTATGTAATGCAATAAAAATATATATTATTTTTAAGAAATATTTACTATAATGTATTACAAGGGTTACAACAACAAAAACTATGTCATTGTTTAACATAAGTATATTAAATTATTTAAGAAAATTGCGAAAAAAAAATATTTATGAAAAACTACAATATTAGAAATTAATGTTAAAGATCTAGTTACTAATCTTCATCTGAATCAGTTGTGATGGGCGCAATACCTGCTAAGCATTTGGTAAAAGGTGTGATATTGGGGGCGGATGATTCCCGTTTCACAAAGAGATTGTAAGTTATTATACTTTACTAGTGAAATTGTTTGCGGTCCATGATAAGCTTTTTGATGATTATGTTATTGACAGAATCTCTCCTTCCTCTTCTGATAACTTGTATGGATTTAAAGGTCTCCTCATCAAGATTGTATTTAAAATATATTAAACCTGTCCTTTCTAAATTGAATGTCTCATTTTCAGCCAGTTTACTTTGTTGCCATCAGTGTCTATAACTTTATTTTTGATTAACACTTTTCTGAGAGCCGCTAAGTCCAAAAATTCATCAACATCCATCTCAATAACATTAAAAGGTGGCCTTCTGCTCGCAGATTTTAAAATAGCATAGAACGATGCCGGATGAAAAATATCAATATTTTTTTTGTGCGTTTTCTATTATAGCGTGAACATTATCTACCTCCATTGGGCTATGTCCTGATTTAAAATATTTTTGGTTTATCACCGGAATATTAAATAGAGAAATAGTTCCGCTAAATTAACGTTTCTATTTTGTCCGCCACAGGTGTCGGACATAATAGTAATTTCTTTACCATGGTTATGATTTATTATGTATTGGTATATGGCTGATCCCAACTCTATTGAGCCTTTTTTAGCTAAGCCCTCGTGCCAGCAATAACAATAAACTTCCCGTTTATCTTTTTTGAAATGTAACATAGTAAAGTTATATATATACCAAGCCGCCTTCTGTAATATATTTGTTTGGCAGATGTACTAGGACAAGTACAAGTAGCCTCGAGATCTACTTCAACAAAATATATATCACCTTTCATAGCCATTTCTTTGGCTTTGTCTCGATGAGATCTTTCTAACAGTTTTCTTTTAATGTGCTCTTCATACATAAAATTAGAACCTTGTTGCTCTTCTTCAGACATATGTTGGTAAATAAAGCAGTTATCTCACATGTCCTTCCTTGGTTTATGAAAGGAAATATTAAAACAAGTTGTTACAATATGCCGATAAAATGATATTTTTTCTGGCTCGATATTCTTTTCTTGACACCAAATTTTATATAAATCGTACATTTTTGACACGTTCACCATTTTTAAATAATATTTAAATGATCCCTTTCTCCTTTTTGTATAGCTTTTTTTTTTTCATTTGAAAAACATACAGCCTCTTTTGTTCCCAGGACATACTCCAAAATTTCTCAAAAATAGTTTGCCGAATTTCTTCCAACAGTAGGTGGCAGAAACGATTTGCTGCTTTTTTACAAAAATTTCAATTACATTTAGGTCCTAATTATTCTCGTATCTGTAATAACTTCTACATTTAGGTTTTCGTTTTCTGTATTTTTTTTTTGGTGGTGAACGTTATCTTCGGACTGTACTAACTAAACTGTCATTTCTCATGTAATAATTCACTGGTATTATTTAGGTTGATTATGTGCACAGTGTCAGACATGAAAACATCAGCGAAAACTGAATTGTTTTCATCTTGGTTAATGACTTCTAGTTCGTAGGGAACGTCGTCAATCATATCATTAATATTTATTGTTGAATTTGTTAATTTGGGTTCATTGATTTTAGTTGCTGGTTCTTTTAAAGCCATGTCCAATATTTTTGTTATTCTATTAGAGATCTGAAAAAAATAACCTGTATAAATAAATTCCCAATAATACCTTCCTATAACAAACTTCACAGTAAAATCCGTAAAAAAATGTTATACATAGATTCAAACCGTAGACACTATGGCCTAGGCGTCCAAGTCTTACACCACCGGTCGTCAAAGCTCTAATTTGTTTGTGCATATTGATTTATTTACTGCTTATATTTGAAAATATGAAAAGAAAAATGGATACTGTGAATAAATAAATTTTATACAATTAAATTTGCTCGGAGAGATCAGTACATCTACCTATTTCTAATACGACGTAACCCACAACACGAATTTGAGATTTATGTCGTATTAAGCAGTCGAATAGTTTTAAAAATATGTCGTATCCAACATGTTATTCGAAATTACAATATGACTTATATAACCTGATTATTTCTAATGCAATTATTTTTACTACACTAGTGGAAAAAATTAAGGGATCCAAAAAATCTCGATTTTTGCGAATTTTCGAGTGGCTGTATCTTTAGTAAAAATGGTCGTCCGTCAATGAAAAAAATCAATTTGAAGCTTGAAGTGTCTAGTTTATGGATCTTGCGATAAAAAAATTTTCCAACCAACAATTAGCCCATATCCTGAAGAATATCATGGATAGAAAAAGGCGATCCTTCAATTTCTTAAAAAATTCACTCGCATAAAACAATGAAACGGCTCGATGGATCAGGTTGAAATTTTGTAGGGCTTTCTGGGGAACAATGGCCTGTAAGATGCACACTCAACATTATTCATTTTCCCAATATTTTCAATGTGGCACGTGATTTTCTAAAAAACCTCAGAAAGACCTGTTTTCCAAAATTCTTCACAGTCATGCTAGTGATGAAAAAAATTTTTTTTCGTGAAGGAACATTCCAGAACCTTGTAGAGAATGAATCGAAGTTTCCGAAACCCCCTTCCATTTTCTGAACGGCCATTGGTTCCTAAGATATTGACGAGAGAAGAGGAAATGACGCATTGACGAATTGAAGCTAACTGAACCACCTCTTCGATGCATATAGTGGTTATGTCGAGAAAATTTTTTTCAAGTCCGTACACTAAAAATTAAAAAAAAAATTTAATTTTCTTTCCATGATATTTATCAGGATTTTGTGCTAATTAATTGTTGGTTGGACATTTTTTTAATTGCAAGGTCCATAAACTAGACACTTCAAGCTTCAAATTTCTTTTTTTTTCTTCTTCTTCTTCTTTCATTCACGTACGACCATTTTTTACCAAAGATACAGCCACTCGAAAAATCGCAAAAAATCGCAAAAAAATGATTTTTTTTGATCCCTTAATTTTTTCCACTAGTGAATAATTTTACATTCCAAATAAATTAACATACTTAAAGAAACTAATAGACACTAAAATATAACTTACGTTCGACATCTTGAAAGAACACACACTGAAAAACAGTTTTTGGATATTTTAATTGCATCACACTGGAACTTGCAAGAGTCTCTTAATGAAATCATGGGGAAACTATGGTATACGACCTATTCGAAAGGCAAAAATCAGATGTATTTTTTACGACATTAGAAAAGGCGCCAAAAAATATTTTTATTTAAATGTTTCTTACGATATGTTAGATTTAGATGGAAATATACCTATCGGACTCATATTCACACTAAATTCAAAAAGTTGTGGGATACGTGCTATTAGAATATTGGTATCGATATGTAAAATTACATTTCGATTTTTCTCATTTCACTTTCATTCATTTAATTATTGAATTATTTAAATATTATGTTCGTGTTCTGCCATATTTCTAGCTAGGCGATTTTGGTTTAATAAAACTCATTCCTAACCAAGACATCAACACAGCCACAACCGTTTTTGGAACGTCAGCTTACATGCCCAGAGAAGCGTTTGGAGGCGATATATCCGTTAAATTTGATACGTTTAGTTTTGGGGTTGTCCTGTTGGAATTGTTGACATCTTTACCTCCCATTGACAGTAAAAGAGATGGGGTAGATTTGGTAAGTACCTAAATGGTAAATAAATATAATAAAGATAATTTAATCGGTTTTGTAATAATTTTATTTCGTAAATTTTTGTAATATTAGGTATTTCGAAATAGTGAAAAAATCGGAAAAAGTTACTTTTTGTTGTAACTAGCAGAAAATTTTGTTTTTGTGCTAAAGCATGAACTTACTTTATTTTTAAAACCTTTATACTCGACTAGAGGAAAACATCCACTGTTTATATTTTCTAATCCTTGCAAAATGTATAATTCTTCAAACTGAAATCTGTAGATAAATAGTTTATTTGTGGCAAATGGATTTAATCACAAAAACACAAAACCGTGATTTTTTGTAAAGTTTTGAAATTTATTAATTTTGATAATTTTTAAAAAGAATCGAAAAAAATTAACGATATTCTTTAGTAAATCTATTGAAATTTGCTGCTTTTACTAAGAAATCATTGTTAGAAAAGGCATTCCAACTAGATAATTTTTAATTGTTATTTCTATAGGTGACGCATATAGGAGAAACTATCGAAAATGATGAAATAGCCTCGATCGTTGATTATAAAGCCGGTTCTTGGATAGAAAACGCCATTAGTTATGCCGAAAAATTGTATACAATAGCACAAAGTTGCTTGAAAGAGAAGAAAAAGAGACCAACCATGATGGAAGTCAAAATGGTACTAGAACGGATGTTTGGAGAATTACAATGAGATGAAAGTATGAACAAAGACGTAAGTATAATATAAGTCAATGATGTCCTACTTAATATCGATTTGTTACTAATTGCATAACCATAAGACGCAGGATATTATGGTATTAAAATTTAACAAATTTAATATTTTTATAATTCTTGTAGAAACAGGTATTGTAATGTTTATATTTTTTGAACAGTTTATTTATTTTAGTTTATATTCACTAAGACAATTATTAGTTTTATAACTTAATTTACAACGCTAATTTATTTTGACAACATATATCTTAACTTTATAATATCCCAATCAAAATTAACTGCTCCAACAGCAAACCAACCTATTTATCCGTGTAAGAGGTATTTTTCGAATGTTCGTGAATTCATCAGAACTAACAACCGACGTCTCAATTTAAACGAGATTAACAGCTTCGCCAAAATTGCAGTTTCGTACTTCTTCGTGTTAATTACTTGTTGGATCAGCTCTGAACTTATTTTGCCATTCAATCATATCAATGTTTGGCAGAAATTCGTTTGGTAATATTTGTGTTAGTTTAGGTAGTACAAGTAGATATACGATTGAAGTATAGTTTCTGGAAAATCGTGGTTTTATTTCAGCCTTAATTTGCCATTTATAAAGTTTTGGTTAGTAGAATATAGTAAGTGCAGATTCTGTGAGGTGGAGGAGGACGAAACTTCCTTCACATTATGACTGAATGCGTAGCACTCCAGAATCCAAGGGCACTATACCCAGGAACATATCAAATAGAAGAGGAAGATTTACCTAATATAAAGTCACTTCAAATATTACACTTCGTTATAGGCATCGAGACATTTCCTTGCTGCATTAACGATATAAAGGAACACAATAGGCATTTTAAGTCGCATTTTCAATATAACAGAATTTGGAACATTCTATTAGAGGTTTCTACTTTTACCATAATGGTAGGAAGTAAAACTGTATTATCTTCTCCTCATATGTGTGTTAACGTACATGCTATGGTAGTATTGGTCTCGGATATTAAACTGTTAGTAGTTATCGCAAATCTGGCATATTCTGCGAACCTAGTTTTTTCTTTTTTGTCTTTGTGATGGGCCATACCACAAGTGTGACTTCGGATTGTTGGGCTATATTTTTCTTTTGAGTCACGTACCATATAGTTGTAACATAGTCAAATGTCACTGATATTTATCGGCTACATATACACGCAGTGGAATAACTCTGGGCTTTTATTTGAATTTTTAACGCTACTAGGTTTTTTCAACGACTAAAATAGTTTGGAATCTATTTAAACCATATTAAAAACCCTATCCGTCACAATACGTGTCTGATTCTATCATATTTATCAAGTAGTATAATCACACTCTGTACAAAACATAACCATAAAGATCAAAAGACAAAATTTAACCATATTATCCATTAGACATGCTATCTATAAAACTGAACCATACTGTTCGCTTATTTTAATCATATTGTCCATTAGACATACTATTCACAAAACTGAACCATATTGTCCACAAAACTGGACCATACTGTCCATTAGACATACTCTCTATAAAACAACCATACTCTCCATAAACTGCACCATACTGTCCACAAAACTGGACCATACCGTCAAATGGGGTGAAATGGATCAAAAATATCGGGTTTTTCAAGATTCTGCCTTTATTATTTGATTTTTCTCAACGAAAAAATTAATGTAGAATCTTTGGACATTCAGTTGTAGTTTACATTATGTAAAAAAAAATTAGTAATAAAAACTTTTGGTATTTTTTTTGTTAAAGTGTGATCCATTTCACCCCGTTATATGGGGTGAAATGGATCACCTATTTATTTAACTTATAAATCCATTTTAACCTCGCCAAGTTTGAATTGGATCAGAAATTTCAGTTTTAAAAAAATAAAAACAAACTTTACAAAAAAACTACATAATTTTTTATATTGCTTTTAGTCAAAAACTACATCAAATCGCAACTTTTATTTAAAACACTGTAAGAAAAACAAAATAAACATTCTTAAAATAATAAAATTTGCTAATGGTGATAATTACAACCATCCAAACAAAAAAAAACATTCTTTGGCAATAAAAAAATACAAAAACAGCAAAAATATGAAATAAACTAAATTCAATTATTGTAGAACGAGAGTAGAAATATTTTTGAAACTGTAGTTTCCTCTTCTCCTGGACTTTACAGTTAGTTTTTTTATAATTTGATTTTTTTGAACTGTGGAAATATCCGGAATATCCGGATATATAAAGAAATTTTCTTTGTTGCCGATACTGGGTTTTTTTCTTAATGAGCTGACTGTGCACTGTTCACCATCTTTTTCCATGTCGATTATCAAACAGACATAATTTAGAACTCTTTTGCTTGTTGGGAACTCTGTTATAACAAAATCTCCAGGTTCCCAGTCATCTTTGTTATTTTCTGAAACTGTTTCCTCCGTATCTGCCCCTGACACTTGTTCCTCCTCTTCCGAACTTTCTTTTTCATTTTCTGAGAGATGTTCTCCCTCATCACTAGAAAGTTGTTCCCAATGGTCTGGATGGGGTTCATTATTTTCATCCAATTTTTCATTTTCTTCATGTTCTATTAATGTCGGTAAAAGATCTGCTACAGATACACTTTTTCCAGAAGGCACATTCATCTTCTTACCTCGTTTTGGAGCCGTTTCACCCCCCCTTCTCATTTCCCTTAAATGTTCAACAATTGTATTTGTCCAAGCCATATTCACATCTTGACGTTCTTCTTCTTCTTGTGGTGTGCGAAGATGTGCTATTTTTTTCAAAACTGCTTCGGGATTAAATGGTGAAATGCCGCAGGACTTGAAGCCCGCTTCTGTATTTGTTTTTGACTTAGCACCAACCTTATCCAAGGTCTCGTTTAACAGCTTCGGAAACAAGGTCTTTGGTAAGACGCCCCTATTTTTTAGTTTCCACTTTTCTAACACATTTCGCCATGCTGCCTTTAAAGGCCGGAAGTAAGCTACATCTAATGGCTGAAGCAAATGGGTGGAATTTGGTGGAAGCAATACAAATTTTATGTCATTTTTTTCGCAATGTTCAATTACTCTTATTGTCAGATGACTACATAAATTATCACCAATCATTACTTTAGTTCCATCAAGTGATCTGAAATAAGGCAAAGCTGTGTTTAAAAACCAATCTTCAAATGTGGTTGCATCAAACCAACCATTTATTGTTCTATTGTATCTGGAACCTGGAAATCCCCCTTCTACCCATCCTGGATATAAATGCCTCGCTTTATAAACTGTATATGGAGGTAAGAGGGTTCCATCGCCTGCTACAGCAAACATTACGCTTGTACTGCTTTTTGATGAATCTATAATTCTATGCGAATGTTTCGAACCCCTCCTAACCACCACTTTTACCGCACCAGGGTCGTCTGTGAAATTGGTCTCATCGTAATTTACAACATTACACGCCGGGACATCATTGATGGATACTTTGAGATGATTAAAATAATCTTCTACAATTTCATACGTCACTGCTGCTCTCACACGTTTTGTGTTCTCGGCTAGTTTTATAGTTAAATTGGGGTGCCTTGTCATGAACAATTTAAACCAATCAATTCCTGGTAAATTGTCTTTAAAACGTTTCTCACGTTTACCACATCTATTCAGGAACTGTTGAACCATAAATCTGATATCAAAACTTTTTAGGGGGAATCCCCATTCAGCACATACCAGAAGCACATCCACCAATTTATTTTCTTCTTCTGAGGTTAGTGCTGGTTGCCCACCTAACGACGAGGAGTGCTTTCCGTTTACTCTGTGATTAAGGGTAGTATAGGGAACAGCATACGTTTCCGAAGCTCTCCTATGCTCATACGACCCGCTTTAACTGCTTGTAAAGCTCTTTCTAGAAACACGGGATCATAATTTCTTCTTCGTCGCAACCCTAATACTTTCTTGTAATATCTTGGCATTTTTTACTATAAAAAAAAAACATCGTCAGTGGGTCCGAACATGTGCATGAGCGTGATCATTGATAAAACAGTTACTAAAATTATATTAATATAATTAAAATAGATGATTCAAATCACCCCCATATATTGAGATTAAAAAAAAAAATCACAACTGCCAACTAAATGAATAAAATGAAAATATAGTATCACCCATGCCTTCAAGAAACATAAATAAACATAATAAAAAATCTCAAAATACTTCAACTATTATCAAATTTTAAATATAATAGTTTGTTTTCAAAAAATTACTCATTTTCACTACTTACCTACAACAATTTTTATTGACACTGCAAACCAACTACTAACGTCTCTGTTCGCATCTAGAGAAGTACTGACCTCGCGCCGTCAAGATCTGTTCATTTTGCTACCGTTCGGTTCGCGTTTAACGAATTTCAGCCGAAGATTTAAAAAAAGGCGCGAATGATCAATTTCACCCACCGTGATCCATTTCACCCCGTTTGACGGTACTGTACACAAACTGCGCCATACTATCTACAAAACTGGACCATAATGTCCACACACTGCACCATATGACAATATGAACCATACTATCCATTAAACTGGACCGTACTATCCACAAATGTCCACTAAACTGGACCATATGGTCCACCCACTATACCATACTATCTACAAACTGCACGATATTGTCCACAAAACTTAATCATATTCTCCTTAAAATACACCATACTGTCCACATGACTGGACCATGCTGTCCACACACTGTACCATACTGTCTACAAACTGCACAAAACTGGACCATATTTTCCACAAAACTGAACCATACTGTCCACACACTGCACTATACTGTCAACAAAACTGAACCATACTGTCAACAAAACTGAACCATACTGTCCAAAAACTGGAACATATTGTTCACAAACCCTTAGTATTTTTTTATATAATAGCTGATATTAATTTTTTTTATTTCAGATTTAATGGACCAACATTTAGATTAATAGTAAAAAAATTAATAATAATTATCCTCATTTATCCGAATCCTTTAATTTCCTACTAAACCCATCCCCACCCGGC